GGGGCTCGCATTGTGGTCAGAAGAACTGGATGCATTTATGAGACAGCTACTATTCTCAGAGCCGTATTTATGCTTCAGTAATTTAGTCCAGTGGAGCCAGTCCTAGAGGCCTATAAACACTTGGTACAATCTCTGCTAACTCATGTAACATGTAAAAGGCCATGCAATTCGTCTACTCGTGTACCCTATACAAAGTCCTGGTTTGATTCTGAGTGTAAAGCAGCTAAACATGAGTTACTGGTCACCTATAGGGCCTAAAGAGAACAGAATCTGGCTAGAATTCCAACAGATTGGTTCACGCTGAAGAAGAAGTATAAAGTTAAAAGTAAAACGCTCCAAGCACAAACAATGTTTGATAACTGTGTCCAATCTGAAGGACTCAGCCTCCTTCTGGAAGATAATGACAAAGGGAATGCTTACTCAGACTCCCAGACAAGATCTCTATATATTGCCTAGTATAAGGAAGATTTTCAAAGTATTTACTGTACACAGGTCACTCAGCTAGTACTTTTAAGTTCTCAGAATGATTTAGATCATTTACCTAAATGGTTGCTCCTAGGGAATCTTAATGCTAATTGAGCAACTCAAACCAGACATGGCTCCTGGAATGGACTATATACCAGTGGGCCTCAACCTTGGGCCTCCAGATGTTCTTGGACTACAACTCCCATAAGCCTTCACCACCACCTCTGTTTTCTGGGAGTTGAAGTCCAAGAACATCTGGAGGCCCAAGGTTGGGGACCACTGCTATATACCATCTGACTTAATAAAGCCCAACTCGGACTGGTGGGCTCCAGTACTAGCCTCTTTATTCACTTGGATTGATAAAACAGCATTTTCCTGAGGACTGGGCCTAGCCATCATTGTCCCAATTTACAAAAGAGGAAATAGAGGGGATCCAGCTAACTATCAACCAATAAGTCTATTAAACACCATTAGCAAACTACATACAAGGCAATATATGCAACAATTGGGTAAATTACAAAACTGGCTGCTTGAGAATATACTCTCAGAGGAACAAGCCGGATTTAGGCTGGGAAGATCCACCATAGATCAGGGTCTTATTTTACACTGCCTGGCATGTAAATACTCGTCCCCTAAAGGTGGTGCCCTATATGCAGCCTTTATAGACTTTCATCTGCATTTGACCTCATACCAAGAAAAACCTGTGGTCTAAATTTGAGACCCCAGTATTGATGAACGGCTTCTCCTGTTGATGCGGCAGCTCCATGAAAATACTCATTTGCAGGTTCTATGCAACTCAGCAAGGATCTTATCCAACCAAGTCCCTGTGCTTAATGTAGTGAGACAAGGATGCATACTAGCCCCCACTTTAATTTCTACATCAATGGCTTACTTGGAAACTTAACCTCAACTTTCATCAACCTAAGCTTGCCTACTTTCAATCCTACTTTATGCTTATGACGCTGTTTTACTGTCAACAATGTGTGTAGGCTTTAGAAGACTTTTGAGAGCCTTCTCCTCCAACTGCAACAAAGAACAACTTATAATTAACTATGCCAAAACCAAGATTGTGGTTGTTAGTAAAAGAAGACTAAAGCATAAATGGTCTCTAAATGGACACCCTGTAAAGCAAGTAGCATGCTACAAATATCTTGGCATTGTCTTCTATTCTTCAGGATCCTGGCTTATGCATGTAAACCACGTTGCAATGAGTGCCCAGAAAAATACCGTAGCACTAACCAGATTTTTCCATATTGATGGGGGTAAATATACAGTGGTGCCTCGCTTAACGATTGTCTCGTTTAGCGATGAATTCGCATAATGATGTGTTTTTTTAGAAAATAATATGCATCGTATAACGATGTTTCCTATGGGCGATTTTCGCTTAGCGAAGTTTGGGACCATGCTTCGCATAACGAATGCGATTTTAGGTCCCCTGCTTCACTTAACGATGTTTCTTTTTTCAATTAAAAAAGTGTCTTAGAAGGGTCAAAAAC